AGGACCAGTTGCACCTGTGAATTCGCTTAGCAATAGACACATCCTTCGAACTTTAGGCCCAGCGCAGAAAAAGAAGGGTTTTGGGTATAGCCCTAACCCCCCAGGTACCTACTATATAGGGTACTAGAGCCCCAAAGGCCCTATATAGTAGGTACCTGGGGGGTTAGGGTTGTGTTCCAACTAGATATCTGGCTGAATCTGCTCATGCTGGCTGGCATGTAACATTCCTCTTGGTTGGCCCTGCTTCATGAGCTGGTGCCTCTGCCAACTACTTTCCGACTGTTGATGTGCAAATGATGCTTCTCAACATTAGCCGGTGAATGTGGTGGTATTCGGTTTCGAGCCAGTCCGACCGCGTTTTGTCACTGCTCTCCATGCTGTTTTCGCGAACTCCTGCGCAGGCAAAGCTTCTCAAAAGTCAGCCACGCCTAGGTCTCAATCTCATTGTAATGCTTATCCTTGACAGCGGGACGACAAATTTCAGACTGAACATCGCAGTGGCTTAAAACAAGATCATCTTATCCTGCATGCACCTGATCACCTGAACTGGTACTGCGAGGGACTCTGAAAACCAGAATACGTCAGGTCCCAGGCCTAAAAACTCAGACAGAACACTGGAACTCCGACGTAAAAATCCTGACAAGACCCATCACCCTTGCGCTGCCTTTTAAACTCAACCCCTCGAGCCAAAGAAGCCCTAGATGTTTTCCCATTGCCCTTCACCAGGAATCCGGGCACCAGAAGGTCGTCGAGTTACGTTCTTGGCGAGGGACGGTTTCGTTCATTGCTGTGGCGCGGGGAGGTGGGGTCCCATCCGTTCGGTTCTGACGACTTCTTCGACGCAGTACTGGGAATGGCTATACATGGTGGAGGTTGGAGCTTTACTCTGCGTTGCATACCTGCAACTGCCACCTGCACGACACTATGCAGATAAAGGACCTCCCGCAACCACACATATTAATGTGAATTGGGTTCCCCTAACCCCCCAGGTACCTACCATATAGGGTACTGGATCTCCTAGGGCCCTATATAGTAGGTACCTGGGGGGTTAGGGTTCCATCGCAAATCCAGGAGCAGCCATCGTCTGGCCTGGCCGGCATTCCTCGGCGGGGACTTGCTGCCTGCAGGCTGGGAGTCTCAGGATCGCTCCCCAGGGGTCAATCGATCCCGGATATTGCGTCATCCACATTACCTATACTCTCCATTGTAGTTCCTTTTTTGGTTTAACCAGATATATATATATATATTAAGGATCTTATAAGGTATCCCCCAAAAGAAATTACAACGGAGACTATAGGTATGGGCCCTCCAGATTTGGGTTGGGGTTCAGATGCTGGGCTGCTGCCTTCTGTGAGGTGCGTTTGCGTGGGCACGGGCGAACATGCCGGCAGTTGAAGTGGAGCTGCATCGCGCGGCCGTGTCTGGCTCTGAATCTTTATATTTTCTAAGGCAACTATATATAAGGAACCCATCAAACTACAGTAATGCTGCAAGACGTTCCATGAGCAGCAGCTTTGGGCTGGCATTCATTGGCATTCCAAAGGTGCTCAAGCATTGGGGCAAATTAAGATGCGTCCTTCAGCTGAGAGCCCCCTTTTCAACCGACTCATGGCGCCATCTCCACGCAAGATCCCCAAAGCGCCTGGTCGTCGACCCGAGCGCTGACGGGCGAGGACTGCAGGGATGTGTTTTGGGGGCTGGAGGATTTACGGTTAAGCGCTTCTGCTTGGCTATCAGGTTTCGGCTCTGACCCCTATAAAACACCTGTGGTCGCTCCGAACGTAGACCGATCAATTTTCGGATCCGTCGCTGGTGTTTCGGATCGAAGTGGCTCTATCTGGCACGAGACTCTTTGGCTGTCAAGGCACTCAGAGTCTTATATAGAGCCTGATGACTTGCAGACATGTTGGTCTTGGAAACAAACCACGCTGCAAGCTGTCCAAAGTCAGAGTCTCACAGCAAGCACTTTTCAACCCTCAAGTTCTGAATGTGAGGTCCTTGAATCCTATGCCAACGGCTCTCCTGGGCTGCTGAAAAAGGCCGACGCGCCCGCCCGCCACTTTGTACTCGAAACCCTGCATCTTATACCTCTGCACCTTAACCTCCCCCGCTCCCCCGCAGGCCGCTCGAGGCCATTAAAGAACTCCCCGCAGAGCTCCGCCGCACGGGGCCGGTGGCCTTTCGCACCGCACACAGAGCTATCCACTGAGCCTCGAACCCGGAACCGACCACAGAAACCACAAGAGGGCCCAATCTCACAGGAAGCACGGCTCTTGTCTTTGATTGTCGGATATAGCCTCTGTGACATTTGTATCAACAACAAAGAAAGACCTCGTAACGGTCTATAAGGAGCTACTTGACCCAGTATCTTCGCCCCCCTTGCCAGCACCCGAATCCCTGAACCCGGAAATCAGGGACGCACCTCGGTGAGCGGCAGTGCCGACGAGGAGCTCGCCTAGGCCAGCACACCGCTTGAAACCGCAAACTCCAGACAAACCATCAAACTCCAGACAGGGTTAGGGTTTAGGCTCTCCATACAGCAATGCAGATGACACTCTTGCCCTCCGATGCCCTTCGGATTCTCGCTGTTCGCAATTCGATTATCTGCATCCTTGCTCTCTGTTGTCTCGTCGCCTCTTTGAAAGATCGCGTCGCCAGAACTGGCAGCACTCAGTCACCGATGCTTCTGCATCATCACCCTTTCAGACCACACCTACAGATACGTTGTATGTACGTAGGTATGTAAGTCGTCTTTAAGTGTCGAAGTAGAAGTCGGCATGCAAGCCCAAACTCTGACGCCTCAAACCTCTGCATCAACCCGAGCACCGCAGAGGACTCAGCATGCTGACGCCTAGCCCTGAGCGTTGGGCAGTGGCCCCGCGGGCGAGCGATGGGCTCTCGCCAACCCGGACGCCGGCCTGCAGCTCAGGAGTTTGAGGAAAATGAAGATCCTGCTTGAGATGTTGGCCTTTACTGGGGCTTTTCATGAGGAATCGAAGTCTAACTCGGAAGCCCAGGGAGTGGTAGTCGTGAGGCTGTGCGGAGAGCCATGAAGGCTCCGGGAGTCGGCCCTTGGGGTATGGGGCCAGCCGGCAAGAGGGATCTATGGAGCTTCTGTTATGCAAGAGGACCACTGTTTCAGAAGGGTCGAAGCTGACAAAAGTAGAGGCCGTGGTGTTGTGAGAGGTGCTCAGGCGGGCACTTTGGCGCGCAGGCAGGGTTCAGAGTGCCCAGACAGCTTGGCCCCAGCAAACGCATGATGTCCACGCTTCCCTTCCGTAGACGGAATGGATGCATCAAATCATCCTAAACCCCCAACTTATAAGTCTATAGGCCAAAGCCATGCACCCACAATCCCTCTGGGTCGGATACACTGAGCGCGCGCTCGAACGCCGGCCCTCGATGAAAGTGCCTGGAGAAATCCGAGGAACACCGAACAGGACATGACTTGCATCTTGTATTGCTTGGTTGTAGGGTCTTGGGTTCTAGGATACTAATATAGGTAGAGTTTAAGTTGTGTCTCTTTTCCGGGCTTGGAACGTTTGGAGAAACATGCTGGCTGACGAATTCGGTGCATGGGAACCCACGACCCGGAGTCACATGCGACCTCAAGGACTTCGGGTGCACGGCGATATCGTGTTGTTGCTAGCGCCATCGACTCCGAGTACTATGTCATTTCGATGGTCCTTCCTTGGTTGTCGTTACCATCGCATCGGGTTCTGAACCAGTGATGTCTTGATACATGGTATCGGGCACAGAACACTCGAAGGCTTCGTCCTAGAGTTCGGGCCTAATTTCTCATTGGCCCGCAGGAATTGAAAGCAATATGGGCATAATGCTAGGAAGACTTTGCAGGTGGTTCGGCTTCCGGCCACCCCTCTGATAAGCTTCCGCTATCTCCCGCTGCTGCAGCCCATCAGCTACCTACTTCTTAACTTAACATCTGCAAAACAATCGAAACACCAAACCTGGCAACATCCCGAAGATCGTCAGTCTTCCAGCCATCCCCTGCACCTCGGAGACCCGTCGAGGGAGGAACTACTCGAGCTGCTCCGATAGGCGCCGCGGACGCCTGCATGCAAAGGTGAGAGTAGTGCACAAGAGTGCAGATGCGTGGAGCACACGACAGAGACTGACTCCTTCATAACGGCTCGTGACAAGTAGTTGGTGGCGCTGAGAAGGAATGCTACAGATGGTAGAAAGCCATGCGACTGTTGCCATCACCAAAACTACACAGATAATTCCAATCATCATTGGTATCACGAGTAGCATGCACGCATGTTGCCACGAACCCCAGCCATGTCTGCATCATCACCATCGTCCGCAACATCACCATGACCAACATGAAGCTAGCACGTACCGTATCCGCACTTTCTAGATCCTGTTCTCCACATGCTTGTCTCATCCGGCAACATGCCATATAATCCGAGAAACCAACCTCTCGATTCTCACTTGTCTCATCATGCATGCTGCATGATACAGTATTTGCAAACATCTTCGCTTGCCACGTTCTGCCGCATCCGTGGAATGCAGCACTCTCAGTCTGCAAGCCCCGCTAGTGTGAGGAAGC